AATTACTGGCCCTTCTTTCAATGAGTGGCAATGAAGAAAAGGATAAGCATATGTTGGAATCCCTTTGGCTGGTCCTGCGAAGAAGTGTTAAGACAAGATTATTGTTGGTATTTAAACAAAGTGCCGAGGATGACTTCATAGGGAATATATTGAAATTTTGCATGCGCAATAAAGCCATCAATGTTTTGGCGGTAAAGGAATCTTTGCCCTCCACAGGAGTACTTTTTACCATACAAATTTATCCGCAATTTAAGGTGACCCAAATAGAACTGTCTTGGCCCATTAAAATTATTTTATATAAAGACCAAGTGAAAAATTTATATGGACAACCTCTGCGGCTGAATATTAACAAAGGCAGTACGAAGTTATATATCCTCAATCGGGTGAATAATACCTATCGATTGGGTGGCCATGTGGGACACTTTATGCAAGAATTCGCCCATACACACAATGCCTCAATTATGTTTCCCAACTTGGGTGATGAGAATAATACATTTATTACGGACGTCGAAATGATGCTGGACAATGGCACCTTCGACATATCCACCGAACCGTCGTTCAATCTCTACAACAGTGATCGCGTTTACAGCAACATTTTCGACTACATGGACTGGTGTGTTATGGTACCGGTGGAGAAGCCCATCCCTGCTTTTATGTATTATTCTCAAGTTGTGGACGATAATGTCTGGCTTCTGTTGTTGGGAACAGTGGTGATTTTGTCTTTGCTCATTACCCTGACCATTTGGCTAAAAAGCCCTGTGGGTACCAGATTGCGTCTGAACTTTTTCAACATTTATATATTCAGTGGAATTTTGGGTCAATCATTCAAAATGGAAACAAATTTCAAAGGGGTACGCAGTGCCCTCTACATGCTAACATGCATAGCCGGCATCATAATGAATACCAGCTACACCACCTATCTGCAGACGTTCAATGCCCTCTCGCCAAGAGACAAAATGATCACCAATCTTGATGACCTACACGAGACCGGCATGCGTTTGCTGATGTACAACGATGAATACAACATGATAAAGGCCTATGGACAGGAACATATCTTCAGATCTGTGGTTACCCTAACATCGTTTGAGGAATTCATGACACTGCGCAATAACTTTGACACCCGGTACGTGTATCCAGTCCCCTCGGCCCAGTGGTTGCTCTACCAGCAACAGCAGAAATTCTTTACAAAACCCAGATATCGTCTATCGGATATTTGCTTTGTTAAAATGATTGGCTTAATGATTCCACTGCAAGCCAACTCGCGATTTGAGGATGACATTAATCGTATGATTGGTCAAGTTGAAGAGTCCGGTCTACTAAGTCATTGGAAGTTTTTAACATTTTTGGAATCAGTGCAACTCAAACGGATTAATTTGCTGGATAATAGTCCCATTACTGGTTTCGAGCCCATGAAGGTGGAAGATACAAGACTTATTATGTATTCCATTATTATCATGGCATTTGTGTCATTCTGTTGTTTTGTTTTCGAGTTCCTTTGGTTTCGACGCAGGACATTTTGGCATAAAATAAAGAGAATACGAGAATGTAAATAAAAATTGTTTGATTTTGTTTTCTTTTAAATTTAATCACAACTCTGGGGCTGTTTGATTGATAAGTTCACCGGCAACTATAAATATCATAAATATCAAATATGTTTGATCATCTCCTCCAACAATAGGATAGGATGCATTCTAACTAACTCCACCACAATGCAATTTTTGAGGATCGGGCCATAATTGCAACCTAGATCGAATCCTCTCGGCGAGAAAGGAAGATCCATATATAGTTTCCTATGGGTTGGAATAATTTTTTATTTTATAATACCCTCAAAACGTAATGGTGTAGGGTAAAAAAATTAAAAAAAAAGTCAAAAGTTGGGCGGGGCAGAATTTATGATACCCTACACCACAATGCATACTTACTAGAGCTCCCGTAACAAAATAATTTATTTGAAGTAGATCATACAACCTATTAACATTCAGAGCAGTTAAAGTTTGGTTTCAAAGGGAGTTAATATATCCAATTCTGAATCGATTTTCCCCATATTTGAGGGAGGCGTTTTAATCTTTTATACCAAATTATCATTGCTATAGAGTGCATAATATCACTTCGAGAAGGATTATATTAGAACCAGTAAAGAAAGTCCTAAAGTCAGGCGGGGCCGATTTTAAGATACCCTACACCACTTTGCTAATTTAGTTGAGCTCCACATAACAATTAAAAGCTTTTGGGAGAATTCAATCATACACCCTATGATTATAATTATAATTTAAAGTTCAAAAGACTAAATATGCCGAATCATTTGTATTTTTTAAATTCGGACTTGTATTGCCCATTTGGTGCAAAATTAATTTGAAATCATATAAAGATAGATATGGGATCTATATCCAAATCGGAACCGATCTCAATAAAATTTAGCAAACATATATTTCTGAGCTGTATTTGATGTATTTCCCTGAATATCGTTGTTTACGGGGTGCATATTACGACTGTGGGTAACAAATACAACAAATCGGATGAACAATATATATGGAAGCTATAGCTATTTCTGAGCTGATCTTCACCAAATTTGGCATACTACCTCCTAGACTCAATTCGGTCGTATGTGCCAAATTCCACCCCAATTGGACAAATATTACACGTTTAGTGCACAATAAAAGGCAAATCGAACGAAGATATATATGGGAGCTATATCTAAATTTTTACCGATTATCTCCAATTTCAATATGGTTGTCCTTGGGCCAAATAAATAGCGTTTGCAAAATTTAATCTCAATCGGATAATAAATGCGACCTGCCTTTTGTCCACAAGAATACACGGACAGACGGAGGGTTGGACGGACAGACGGCCTGGCATGCATAAATCAACTCAGAAAGTGATTCTATGGAGATCCTCAAAAGTAACTATGGGTCTATCTCGTTATTGACAAAATTTGATAGACAGGCTTGTATCTGATATCAGGTACTAAAGATCATTGTTGTGACATGCGTATTACGAATGTGACAGACTTCAACCCCCAAATCGGATAATATATATATGGGAGCTACAGCTATATCTAAACCGATTTTCAAAAAATTTCGAGCAGTATCTGGTGTCCGGTACAAAATATTATTCTTCTGGAGTGCATATTACACATGTGAGGGTTTTAAATATCAAATTGGATGAAAAATATATATGGAAGCTATAGATATATCTGAACCGATTTTCTCCAAAATTGACTTACTTGCAGCTAAACTGAATCCGGTTGGATGTACCATAATACAGGTCATTTGGACTTCTATTAGCCATTTGGTGCACAGTTAACCTGAAATAGGTTGAAGATATATGGGAGCTATATCTAAATCTGATCCGATTGTCACAAATTTCAATAGGGTTCGTCCATGGGATGAAAAAATATTGTTTGCAAAATTTCATCTCAATCGGATAATAAATGCGACCTGTATTTTGTTCACAAGAATACATGGACGGACGGACAGACGCACTGATGTGCATAAATCGACTCAGAAAGCGATTCTATGAAGATCCTCAAAGTAACTATGGGTCTATCTCGCCTCCTTCTCCATGTTACAAACAAATCCACAAAGTCATTATACCCTTACAAATATGTGGTGTAAGGTATAAAAATACGAGCTCATCATGGATTAAGAAAGATGTAAAGAAGCAGAAAGTTGGAACGCGCCGAAATTTGATTACCCTCCACCCTTTAGAATGGATTTGAAAAATTTCAAAAACATAAAAAACGTTAAAAATTCTGTTAAAATCTCGAAAATACCGTATATAGCCGTTATACTGGGATCTGTGCGAAGACGTTACACTGCATAGGCAACTTTCGTCATAAGCCATTTCAATATTCAAACACGAAATATGAAAAAATCCGGTAAATAATGTAGCTTACATCATCAAAACACCAAATATAGGGCCCTGCATTAGAAACTTCAAATACGAAAATTCATACAATTTCGGTTAATATATTACCTAAAATCGTCAAAATACCGAATGCATGGAGGTAATGATATATGGGACCTATACGATGAACTGGACCTGGACCATAGAAAATTTTCTGTCATAGACCATTACGAACTCTAAATACGAAATTTTTATACAACTCCGGTGAATAATGTCCCTAAATTCGTAAAAAAAAAATATAGAATATGGGGGGTGTACCGTTATATGGGGGCTAAGCGATATGGTGGACCTATAGAGACAATTCTCTTCTAGGGGATAAAGTGCTCACAAGGAACTCCTTGTGTGAAACTTCAGACAATTCAGTTGAATATATGTCTAAAATCATCAAAATACCGAATATCGGAAGGTAACGTTATAGGGGGATATACGATATCATAGACCTATATAGCTTATTCTCTTCCAGGCTGAAAAGTACTCAGAAGGAGTTCCTTGTGAAGATTTTCAGACGATTAGATTGAAAAATGTAGCTAAAATCATAAAAATGCCGAAAATCGGGAGGTGCAGTTAAATGGTTGATATTGTAGATCTATATGGACAACTCTCTGTCAGTGGGTAAAGTGCTCATAACGAATTCCTTGTGAGGATTTTCAGACAATTTCAATCGGGGGTACCGTTATATGGTGGCTATACGATATCGTGGACCGTCTTCGAATTTGACCTGCCTGCAGACAAAAGACAGATCTATGCAAAATTTTAGCTTCCTATGTTAATTAGTTTTGACTGTAGCGTGATTATAACTGACGGGCAGACGGACTGACTGACAGGGCTAAATCATCAATGAATTTAACGCTGAAAATATATATATATTATTTGCTATATCTAAAATATTATTTCGATGAGTTTCAAACGGAATGACGAGCCTAATATATGGAGGGCATATTATGGAGGAGAGTATAATATGTATTGTTTTTCTATAATGTTGTATACAACATTGTTCTATTCTGTATGTTAAAATAAAACAAACTGACTTTGACGTATATACATAGGTGTATTTCTCAAAAGTCAATCACGTCTTCGATTTAATTTTTTTAGAATCAATTCACAGGTTTCTTAAAACATGAACACAATTTTCGCATCTTCCACAATCTGCGTGCAAGGCGACCTCTTCGTGGCCAATATAGTTCCGCAATAAAACACAAAGACGACACACTTATCATGATGATAAAAAGATATCCCAAAAGTTTTGTATCCTGAAATTTCATGACTTCAAAACTTATGGCAGTACTGCCATCGAACAATGTTAAACGTTTTCTCTGAAGCGACTCCAAAAATTCCATGCTCTTCCAGTATTGAATCAGACCAGCTTGATTGACAATACCAATCATTTGGTTGACAGTGTCTTCAAATGGTGAATTGGGTTGCATTGGTATCATGACACCAATCATTTTGAAGATACAAATGTCGGATAGACGAAATTTCGGCTTTGCAAAAAATTTCTGTTGCTGTTCGTATTGAGACCATTGTGGCGATGGTACTGGGTAAACAAAGCGGGTGTCATAGCTATCGCGCAGCGTGTAGTAGTCACGATATGTGTCAATTAGAAAAGCTACATCATCATATGGGCGGGATAAATTATTTGCCTGCATAAATTTGTATTCCTCTTTGTAGAAGGCAATTTTTAATTTCGAACTGCGTATATCATTCAGAGTCATTATGGGCTTTTCCGTGGGTGGCCGGGCCTTATATGTCTGCAGATAAGTGGCAAAACTAGAATTAATAATTATGCCACCTACACATGTTAGTAGGTATAGGAAACTGCGAACTCCGGTAAAATTTATCTCCATTTTGAATGGGTGCCCCAAAATGCCGTTGAAGATGTAGACATTGAAGAAAGTGTCAAACCAATAGACGGTGTAATCCTGAAGCCAAAAAGTCAAGGCCACAAGTAATGTCAAGACAAAGACAGCGCAAAAAACGATCACCGTCGAAAGAATATCAAAAATGCGGACATAAAAAAGATAAGCAGGAACCGGATTTTCCATTGGTACCATTATACACCAATCCAGAAAGTCATATGTGTAGCTGTAGACCATATCGTTGGCATATTGATTAATTGATAATTCCATGGACATGTCATAGGTGCCATTGTTGACCATGGCCTCCAAAAGAACATGTGTCACTTCGATTTTTTGTCTAAAGTGAGGTAGCGTTATGGAGGCATTGTGGAAATCCGCAAACACTTTAAAGAAAGAACCAACATGGCCACTTAAGGTGAACTTGTTGCTGCTGGTTTCCCGCATTACATAGGCCTTTGTGCTCTCATTGTTGATTCCCAAGCGCAACGAGTGTCCATGCAGATTTTTTACATGATTTGGATAGAAGGTTGTTTCGTTTCCTGGTGTGATTTTCTTGATACGGACGTCGAATTGGGGAAATATTTGTGGTGAAAGAAATTCTTGGGACTTCAATAAATTTCCGTTAATGGCCATCGTATTCACCGCTTTGTTGTCCTTACAAAATTCCATAATGTTCCTTATGTAATCCTCATCTTCATTATTTTGGTACAGCAACAACAATCTGGTCTTTACAATTCGCCTTAAAGATTTCCATAGGGTTTGAAGCAGATCCATATCCTGGTCTTCTTGACCACACAATGGCACAATGGCCAGTAGATCTCGATTAAATTTTGGCCATAAATAAAATGATGTGTTTCCCCTGAATTGGAATACCGGAACGTTTATCGATTGCGATACCTTTTCCATATTGTATAGTCCTGCACCAGTACTAGAGGATGTATTTTCATGGCCGATGAAAATAATCGAGTGATAGTAACTTTGTTCTCGTATGCTCCTCAATATTTCCACAACAGACAGGCTCATCTCATTTTCCATGGATATAAGTTGCAGAAATCCCATTATTAACGAGGCATTAGCGTATGGTGACATTTCCAATTTTATTTCTAACTAATGCCGAAAATCGACTACTTTTTTTGAGGATACTCCCGAGAAATGAAAAAGCGATGGCTTATGTGTGTGTGTGTATTTGTGTATACCCAGACTGAGAGTAGAAAATGTGTACATGCTATTAACATGTCCTGCTGATGTCCCAGGTTATGCCTTAATTACAAAGCAAATACAACATGTGGTTCTTTTTCATGTTAAAGTAGCTTGTAAGCTATATATAACATTATTTGTTAATTGTACACAAACAAACAACAGCGCGCTTTGTTTACTCGATAAGTTGGAAAATTTCAATTTGGGTGTTGAACTCTGAGGTCACACTGTCAAAAATGTTGCATGTAATCCTTGGTTGTTTGTGATATCTGGTACCGAATATTAATCCTATAATACATGTTACACCGTTGAGGAGCTTTAAATATCACCTCGAATGAAACATGTGGGAGTTATAGCCATATTCAAAATTTAAGTTAAATATATTACACATTTTGTTCACAAATATCAAATCGGAATTCGGTCAATGTAACAGCTATATCGAAGTCTGAACCGAGGATCGCCAAAATCAACGGAATTAGCCTTGGGCCATAGGAATAAACAAAAAGTGGACAAGAAATTCACAGTACATGGACAGATATACATAAATCGATATAGAAAGTGAATCTTTGAAGATAATTAAAATAAATATAGGTCTATCCTGTCCCCTTTGTATTTCAACAACAAACACAAAGGCTGTGTGGCGCCCATCCGAGTCAATTTTCTGACTTGATAGAAATTTCATAAAATATTAAAAACATATATTTTAAATAAGTAAGAAAAGGCTGCAGTCAAACAAGGCCGGCAATTTAGTACCCTAGGACACGAAAATTAACGAAAAAGTTTCTACAGACGACAAGATAATAGATACATAACTGGACATCCTTAAAGTTGATTCGAATTATCAATTTTCCATATTTAATTTTCATGTTGTAGAGCTCTTGGACCTAATAAGTCCCGGTCTGTTGAATAACCGTTATGGATCTGGGTCAATATTTTCCAAAAAACTACGATCACCAAAAAAATTATAAAGCAAAACGTAGGAAGATCACCCCAAATTTTACATTTAACACTCCACCTGTCATACTAATGAGTGAAACAATATTTGAAAATTTAGATTCCAGCATAAAATTTGAGGTATTTTTAATATTTGAAATCAGCATCAATGATAAATGCTAGGCTTCTGCCTTTTCCTATTAACAAACAGTTTTTATCCATTTCGTTCCCTAAATATTTGCTATCATCTCAAAAAACAATAGGCTTCTATTCTGACTCTAAGCCCAACTGCTTGCAAAATACCATAATTGGTGCCTGTAACGTGATTACGAATTAATATAGACAGATGGACAGCGTCTCAGCTCAGCGCGATAGGAACAATATTTCAAGGTGTTACAAACTTTTTGGTCCAATCTAACTTTGTAATACCCCCAACATATAGTGTTGTTGGATGTAACAAATAAGAAATAACAAATAAAACATCTGTAAGTTTCGAAGTTTTAATAACCTCCACCATTCCGAACGAATTTGGCAATTTTCAAAAAAATTAAATTCGTTAAAAATTCTGTTAAAATCCTTAAAATACCGAATGAATCCGTTATATTAGGGTCTATACAACTACGTGTCATAAGCCATTACAATATTAAAGTGCGAAACATGAAAAAACGGTAAATAATGCAGTTAAAATCATCAAAATACCGAATATCGGGAGGTACCACTATATGGGGGCTATGCCAAAACGTGGACCTGCACAGACAATTTTCTGTCATAGGCTGTAGTATGCATTACGAACTACAATAAGGAAATTTGAAACAATTCCAGTGAACAATGCCGGCAAAAACATCAAAATACCGATCTGTATTTCGAGGTGTTACAAACGGAATGACAAACTTAATATACCCTCTATACTATGGTGGTGGCAAAGACATAAAACTATAAAGATTAGACAAAATGCATATGGGCTGTAAATTTTCTATCAGATATTAGAGGGCAGGCGACTAAACAGAAATGCATTAGAAATTTTAGAAAAATATGTCATTCCGATATCGCCTAAAAATGGCGGAAATACGGGGAAAAATATCAGGTATGATAGACATGCTTTCAGAAATCTATTTCAGAGCACTTCCTTGTACATTGAATCGATAAAAATCAACAACAACCCTTAAAATGTGTCAACCCTTAAATGACATCGTGACATAACATATTTTTCCACTACCAACGTCATCTATCGCAGAAAAGTAACAATGTTATTATATTATATGTCTTTGCTTGAAGTCTTGGCCAAACTTTGAATACCCTTCACCACTTCAAAGGTAAATTTTCCGGAATCCGGAATATTTCATTTTCTAAAGTGCCGCTAAAATTATAGAAATTCCGAATATTAGGTGTTTCCATAATATGGGCCTATATAAAAACGATGACCTTCACAGACAATTATCTGTCAGCGAGGACTGTGCTTATTACGAAATAAAAATACCAAGACTAAGAAAATTCTACTCCGAAATTCAAAATTCAGTGGAGGTAGTATTCATTACGTATTCCAAATACCAAATTGGATAATATTCCGGTGAAAAATATGACCCAAATCAAAAAATATCGAATATATGGACAGTAAGACCGAGAAAAACTAATCAATAAAAAAATTAGAAAATATTTTCGCGTTTTTTTGCGACTTCGATGCAAATATATTTTCATTATTTAATGGGAATTGGGAGTTCTGCTCTTTGCTGACTTACAGTGAAATTTGATGAAGAGTAATATTTTCTTGTGCTAATTTATTTGATTTTTTCAAAAAATGACTGGGGAAAATATGAAATTTTTATAGTTTGGAAAATATAATTATATTTTGTGTAAAAATACCAATTAATAATTTTATTTTTTTTTTAAATTTGGTTAAAAGTCCTTCAATTTTTCACATCGCATATACTCGGCATGGAGCAAAAATGTATGCACAAACGCTCTGCGAAATGGAATATCACGCTTCCTGAATCTTTTTTCCCATTTCGTTCCTATTTTTAATTTTAATGGTTCTAAATTGTTTTAGATTGCTTAAGACTCCCCAATAAATAATAAATAATAATAATAATAAGACTCCCCCAAGGTTTAGTGACTGCGATGTCCATCTTTATACCGGCACACCGTCTTTAACAATCCAAATCATTTGTCCTGCATTAATTGCCACATAGTCTGGATGGTATATTAAATTTTTCATTCAATTTGTAACACCTCAAAATATACATGTTAGATCCAACAAAGTATATACAGGATGAGATGAAAAAACTGCAATCCACTTAGGACTGTTGTCATTTTTAAGCCACTCGTCCGACAGCTGTCCAAATTATTTAAATGACAGCTCATTATATTGTTTACAAGCGTTCAAAAGCATTTTGGTAAGAATTTTGCAGAAAAAAAGTTATTCTTGATGGAATTTAAGCTTGATAGTGTGATTTCTTTACATTTGGCTGGAAAACCACAAGTGGCTATCGTTGTTGCTTTCATTCAATAACATTAAAAAAATGTAAAAATTATGGCGTTTGACTTTGTTGCAGTTTTTTACCTCACCCTGTATATTTTTGATCAGCATACAATTTTATGACTATTTAACGATGTCCGCCCGTCTGTGGAAATCACTCTAGATTCCGAACGAAATGAAGTAGGTGGATAAAATTTTACTCAGTTGTGTGTTTGTTCTGCAGAACTTTTGGTATTGAAAATGGGCTATATGTATACGTTTTGGTATAGCCCCCATAAAACGGTACCTCCCTATTTTCGCTATTTTGCTGATTTCAGTGACATTATTTACCAGAATTATTTTAAATTTTGCATTTATACTTCGTAATAGTTGCTACATTTTCGAAAATTGATCGAAAATTGGCTAAGTAGGTCCAGATCTTGGTATAGCACCTATATAACGGGACTCCCTATATTCGGTATTTTAATGATTTTAGCGACATTACTTGATATGTTCCAAACTTCGTCATTGAAGTTCCTAATGGTAGTACCCTATGACAGAAAATTACTTTTGCAGGTTCAGGTCTTTGCATAGCCCAATATAACAGTATCCCCCAATATACCGGTACCTTCTCATACTCAATATTATGACTATTTTAAGTACAATATTCAGCGGAATTATTTCAAATTTCGTATTTTAAGTTCATAACGGGTACTACAGGTCCATGTAGGTCCAGGTCTTCGTATATCCCCCATACAACTATGCCTCCGTATATTCGGTATTTTGATGATTATAGCCATATTATTCACCGGAGTTGTTTCAAATTTTGTATTTTAAGTTACTAATGGGTACTACAGTCTATGACAGAAAATTGCCTATGTCCAGGACTTTGTATGGCCCCCATATATCAGTACCTACCAATATTCAGAGGGCGTTTTTAATCTTAGTTTGAAAAAGGACCACAAGGTCCTTTTTGAAGATTCGCTTGAGGGTCAAAATTGTCAAAGAAAATAGTCCTTGTATTGCTATCTCTTATATTGCCGGCGATACG